CCCGCAGGCTACGCCGAGCCGCTCAAGTCCGTTCCGCCGGAGAAGTTCAACCACACCTCCATTCCCAAGGGCTACCGCTGCCCCTGGCAGGAGCTTGTCAGCCACCGCGAGCTCGCGGACGCCGGCCGCAGCCACGCGCCCCGCCTTTGGGACCTCCGGAACTTCAACAAGTAAAGCCGGGCTGGGGGCGGGGCCTGGGGGCGGGGCGGGCCGAAGCTCGTGGGTTGGACCCCAGCCGGCAGCCACACCTCCCAGCTCCTGACGCACACGTCTTCAAGGGTGGCTGGGGCTGGGCGGCAGCTCCTTGGTAGGTGCCTCGCACGGGCGGGGCGAAGGGCGAAGGTGCCACACGTCCTGTTGCCAGTTTCCCCAGAGGCTCGGGAAAGTCACGGCATTATCCTGCAGGACGCAAGCTTGGGTCCACTCCACAGAGTGGTCCCCACACCGCTGTTCTAGGGGCTCCCAGCTCTCCGCAGTTCTGGCCCCATCCAGCCTCCCTGTACTTTCGCCGAGGCCGCCCACGGCAGGGAGCAGCGCCGAGGCCACGGGCGCTGAGTGCTGCTGGTGGAGTGCTGTGGTCTCAGTGTGGGTTTAAATGCAGACCCCAGGGCTGGCTGTGTGGCTTCAGCTCTCCATAAGCAGTAGCTGCTATTACTATTATTTATAGATGGACGTGCTTAAAAAAGCGAACTGGGGAGAACTTGAAAGGGATAAATTTAACTTTCCGCCCAGGAAACCTGAAAACAGGCCATAGAATTCCAGACTGGAGCTTGGCTTTTGGAGGCCAGTTTGGGCTGGAGATTCATTTTAATTACACTTGGCTTCCTTGAGCTGATGCAATGGCTGAATGGGTCCCCTGGCTTATCGTACATTAAGTGAGGACAAGATGGATCCACAGAGAGAGGGCCATGGCCTAGTGCTCTGGCATCTGACCAGACACACATGTGGAGACTGTCTGGCAGAGGCAGCTGGGTGTGTGCCAGGTCTTGGCTAGACTTGGAGATGAGACCCAAGGAGGAAGCACCAAAGGATGGGTGTCGGTAGTGGCAAGAGAAGAGATGGCAGAGGAGGGGATGTGACAGCCCCAAACAGCAGAGTAGTCAGGGAGGTCCTTAATGGGAAGAATTGGAGCCAGGGAGTGCTGCCTGACCTCCAAGCCATTGGCAGACGTTCTGTTCTGGAGTTCCCCACCAGGCAGGACTGCCTGACTCCTTCTGGGCCTTCAGATCCTGTCTGCCCAGCTATTCCAAACCCTCAGCAAACACCTTCAGTTCTGGCAGCCAGCATCCAGGCTGGCTGGGTCAGGATGCTTCCTCCACTCAACCAGTGCCTCAAAATGATAGTGGAACCCCTTCCCAACAGCGGAAGAGGGTGCTAAAGAGACCTTCTCAGGGACAGAAGAGCAACTGATGCATAGAGAGGAGGAATAGTTGTTCTTGGCCACGCAAGACTCAGAAGTCAGGCCTCTGGGCTCCCCAACTGTGCGGCTTGCTTTTCTTGGCCATTACCCAGCCTGTTCCTTCAGAGCTTGGCTGCTGCAGCTGAGCTAGGGTGATCCAGACAGCCATGCTTTCCTGGCAAAATCCCAGGCTCTGGCTGAAGTTTGCTTTTTCGCTCCAGCAGCAAGCATTGCCCTCTTCCCAATGGTCGCTGATGCAGGAAAACCATGACAGAAATGCCTTTTCTATTTCTTTAAAATTTTTGTTATTATAATGGTGATGTACAGAGGTGTTACAGTCAAGTAAAGGGTACATTTCTTTTTGGACAATGTCACTTTTGCTTTTTATGTTTCTTAATATTGAAAACAAGGGTAAGAGAAGTAGTTCAGTGATAGAGCTCTCACCTAGCATTCTTGAAGTGCTGGGCTTGATACCTAGCACTGCAAAGTATTAAATAAACAAGTAAGTTAACATAGATAAAATAGCTTAAGAATTATATACATTTTTTGAAATAAAAATCCCAGCAACTATAGAATGAAAGCAGGGTTCCCCCCTTTTTTATTTTTATTTTATGTATTTATTTATTTTTTGGGTCCGGTCGTGGGGCCTGAACTCTGGGCCTGGGCCCTGTCCCTCATCTCTTCAGCTCAAGGCTAGCACTCTACCACTTGAGCCACAGTGCCACTTCTGGCTTTTTTTCTTTTTGCTTATGTGGTGCTGAGGAATCAAATCCAGGGCCTCATGCATGCAAGGCAAGCGCTCTAGCACTGGGCCACCTTCCCAGCCCCCCACACTTTTTTTTTTTTTTACCATTGCTCAATCTGAGGCCCCTTTCCAAAGAACAAATCGCCAGGATGGCCTACATTTTGGGAATACTTACGTAGGTAGCTGTGTACCTATAGGAATTATGGCATTTTATTTTTTTTTTTATTTTTGGTGCTGGTACTGGGGTTTGAACTCAGGGCCTTGCATTCTTTTTTTTTTTTTTTTTTTTGGGCCTTGCATTCTTGCTTGGCTTTTTTGCTGAAGGCTGGGGCTGTACCAATTGAATGACAGCTCCACTTCTGGCTTTTTGCTGATTTATTGGAGTCTCACAGATTTGTCTGCCTGTGCTGCTTTGAATAGTGACTCTCAGATGGCAGTCTCCTGAGTGTAAACCACCAGTTATGGCATTGTTTTGTGAGTGTACGATGTGTATTTTAATACTTGGTGATGGGCTGGGAAGGTGGCTCAGTGGTAGAGCGCTTGCCTTGCATGCATGAGGCCCTGAGTTCGATTCCTCAGCACCACATAAACAGGGGGGGAAAAGCCGGAAGTGGCAATGTGGCTTACAAGTGGTAGAGTGCTAGCCTTGAGCTGAAGAGCTGAGGGACAGCACCCAGGCCAGAGTTCAGGCCCCACCACTGGACCCCCCCCCAAAAAAAAATACTTTGTTTTATTCAGTAACTTTTTTCCTTCCTTCCTTCCTTCCTTTCCTCCTCCTCCTGTTCTTCCTCTTCCTCTTCCTCCTCCTCCTCCTCCTCCTCCTCTTCTTTCTCTGTTTTTTTTTGTCTGTCATGGGGCTTCAACTCTGGGCCTGAATACTGTCCCTCAGCTCTTCAGCTCAAGGTTAGCGCTCTATCACTTGAGCCACTGTACCATGTCCGGTTTCCTGCGTGGTTTATTGGAGATAAGAGTCTCACAGACTTTCCTGACCAGGCTGGTTTTGAACCGTGATCCTCAGGTCTCAGTCTCCTGAGTAGCTAGGCGTGAGCCACTGGTGCCTGGCTTTTGTTTTCTTTCTTTTTTTTTGGGTTGGTTGTGGGGCTTGAAACTCTAGGCTTGGGCTCTGTCCCTGTGCTCTTCAGCTCAAGGCGAGCGCTCTACCGCTTGAGCCACAGCGCCACTTCTGGTTTTCTAGTGTTTTTTTTTTAATTGGAGATAATAGTCTCACGGACTTTCCTGCCTGGGCTGGCTTTGAACCTCGATCTTCAGATCTCAGCCTCCTGAATAGCTAGGATTACAGGCGTGAGCCACCAGCACCGGCTCAGCTTTTGTTTTCTTCATCTAACATTATCCTTTTGAAGTTTACCTCATTAGTGCATTCAGATCTGCTTCTTTCCTTTAAATTGTGTCATGTGTGGTACTCTATCTGCCTTGTCTGCTCCTCTGCCAGCAGTGTGGAGCTGCTTCTGGCTTGTCTTTAATGCCTTGTTCATATCTGTTTGCTCAGTCTTTCTTGTATGCATAAGCCTCCCCCAACCCCACATTTACAGGTGGAGTTGTTGAGTGACAAGAGTTCATATATTTTCAGGTTAAAATAACCTTCCAAATTGTCCTCCAAGATAGCAAAACCAACTGACTTCTCTCTAGCCAGCAGACTATGGGTGAAATTTGCCCCTACTATCTCATCAACTTTGCCTCAGTGATCACATTCTTCCCTTCTGTGAATCTTCTGGGGAGAAGTGTTCTGTCACTGCTGTCATTTGCATTTTTTTTTCTGATTCTCAGTCCCCCCCCCTTTTTTTTGTCTGTCGTGGGGCCTGAACTCTGAGCCTGGACCCTGTCCCTCAGCTCTTCAGCTGTAGACTAACGCTCTACCACTTGAGCCTCAGCCTCACTTCCGGCTTTTTCTGCTTATGTGGTGCTGAGGAATTGAACCTAGGGCCTCATGCATGCAAGGCAAGCACTCTACCACTGAGCCACCTTCCCAGCTCCTGATTCTCATTCTCTAACTCTCCCTCTTCACTACAGTGTGTGGGTACTTTGGGAACAAGAGGAAGGAAAATTTGCTTCCAGGGCTACTGTCCTATGTAGCTTCTTAGAGAGAAATTAACAGTTTTTCCTAGAACCAGCCAATTTTGACTCTAGAAACCACTCTTGCTCCACCCACTCTAGGGGCAGACTTAGGAAAGGGCAGAGCTAGAGAAATGTTAGAATCATACAGACCTTTGCTGTATAGAAGGGGAAATTAAGGCCCAGAAAAAGGCAGGAAGAGGCCACATTGTTACCTGAATATCAGTACTTTGCCATTTTTCTTCCAGTCACCTCTTCTGTTGTTCTTTCTTTTTCCTCAGGACTCCTGTGCCATTTGGAGGACCTCTGGTAGGGGAGACCATTCCCAGGGCAGGCACCCCTTTTGTCCCAGAGCCCTTTAGTGGCTTGGAACTCCTCCGCCTCAGACCCAACTTCAACAGGGTGGCTCAGGGCTGGGTCCGCAAACTCCCAGAGTCTGAGGAGCTGTAGGCCCAGCCTATAACTTCGCTTTCTCAGACTCAGGACTTATGTAACATCAGAAGCCAAGACTTATGGACTGTTCTTACAATTTATGAAGAGCCTGCACACACAACTATTATTGCAAAATGTCGCAAAGGTCACAAAGTTCAGTAGTTTCCAAATGCAGATGTGTTTCAAAGTTACCTGAGGACATTGGTCTTCATATAGACTTCTGGCCTGTCCCAGACTTGCAGTGCTGGGACTATTAGGTCGTCTACATGTCTACAGTTTGTCTTTAGGAATCCATGCCCATGTGTCTGTGTCTCCCTGCTCCAGCAGCTGACCCTCTCCCATGGTGGCCTGTTAACTAGCAGCCCACCTCCCTGTGAATATCTCTAATAGTTAGGTTTTCCTTTTGCTGAGATGCAGTTGACTCCAGCTATTCTGTTATTAAGTGCTACACAATGCCAGGCTCAGGTCTTGAGGAGGAAAAAATGGTGGGAAAGAGAGATTTGTGAAGTGAGTGGCTTTAATTTTCCCTGGAGCATGCTAATTGACAATTGAGGAACAAAGTGTCACTAAGCAGAGCAAGGTCTCTAGCTCTGGCCATGAGGTGGGATTCTAGAAGCTTCCCCCAGAATTGGAGTGGGATGTTGGAGGGAGAATAAGAATCCATGGAGAAAAAAGGAGTGTGGTAAGAGTATCCTGGCAAGCAGATCAGAATGTGCAGAATTGAGTCCAAGGTGATGGAGAAGGGAGCATCTATGTGGGCCACAGGTGGGGGCTTTACTGAGGAAAGGGGCAAGTTTTGATGATGCTCTCACTAGTTGCTGTGTGGAGCACAGACTGGAGGGAAATGATACTGGAGGCCAGAAAGCCTTCAAGGGTGATGCCTGAAATAGGGGGTAGCCAAGGGGATAAAAAGGAGGGGGTCACCCTGTGGGACACTACAGAACTGATGCAAAGAGGGGTGGGTACTTATAAGGTTTCATTTTTAACCCCTTATACTTGAGCAGGCCCCTTGGTTCCAGTGATGGTGGACTTGGTGGTGGTAGATAATGGTGGTGGTTCTATAGCTTCTTTTTTTTTTTTTTTTGTTGGTCGTGGGGCCTGAACTCTGAGCCTGGGTGCTGTCCTTCAGCTCTTCAGCTCAAGGCTAGCCTCTACCACTTGAGCCACAGTGCCACATCTGGCGTTTTCTGCTTATGTGGTGCTGAGGAATCGAACTGAGGGCCACCTTCCCAGCCCATGCTGCAGCTTCTTATCTCAGGGCTTAGAATGCCGGTCATGGGGCTTGAACTCAAGGCCTGGGCGCTGTCCCTGAGCTTTTTCATTCAAGGCTAGTGCTCTACCAATTTGAACCACACCTCCACTTGTTTTTCTCTCCAGAAAACCATTGGAGGTAAGAGTTTCACCAACTTTCCTGCGTAGGCTGGCCTCAAACTGTGATCCTTAGATCTCAGCCTCCTTAGTAGTTAAGATTATAAGTGTGCTCTATCAGCACCCCTCTGGCAGAGTTTCTTTACATATATGATTCCTAATAGTACAGCCTGAGAAAAAGATATTGTCCTCATTTTACAGATGAGTTTCCACAGGCCCCAAAGAGAAAACAAACTTCTTGGAGTTGAAGGAGTTGAAGTCAGGGAGGCCGTGGGAGGCTAAGCCTATGCCCAGTCACTCTGTAGTGCCATGCCTTGGAGTTTAAGGGTACCTGAAACATGCAGTTGGATGGAATGGGGTCAGGTCTGTCTTTGTGAGACAGGTGAACTTGAGCAAGTCATCTCACATCTCTGAGCCTTTTATTGTATCTGTAGGAGGAGGTGGTTATCAGAGTTCTTTTATGAAGTTGAGCACAGTTGGGAATCAATGTTCTTGAAGCAAATGCAGCTAGAGAATCAGGCTGCTGGGGCAGCACTAGGCGCCTGATGGAGGTCTCATCACTGCAGGGTTCCCTTTGCACTGGGATCCCTGATTCCAGGCCTGAGTGGTACAGTGGAGTCATTTGTCTTTTGCTCTGGAGTTTCACTCCTCCCTCCAGGTCCCTAGGGGACAGCAGCTTGTTTTTTAGTGTTTTTTAATTGGTAGTTCAGGGCCTAGTTTTGTTAGGCAAGCACTCAATTGTTGCTTCACACCTCTAGCCCATCGTAATTTTAGAATTGCTTACAAATAATATTCTCTTGGATTTTGGGAACGTGGTTTAAAGCTAGTGTCTATGAGCTGGAAGACCAACCATTTAAACGTCTGCAAAGTAGAAGAGGACTTGGATCGTCTGAGTTGGTTTTGCTTTTGCAGTGCTCCGGAAGCTATCTGCTGCTGCCAGCACAGAATAAATGTAGGAGCCTCAGGGAAACTTCTGCACCTGAAAGTGATCCTCGTCCTTTTGACAGGGTGACTTTTTTTTTTTTTTTAAAGCTTACTGTAAAGTTTTGTGAAAGTCATTATCCCAACACACCCTGTCCCACACATAACCACACATCTTCCCACCCTCCTGCATTTGGCTCCTGAGTTCCACTCCTGCCTACAGATAGCCACTGGCAAGATTGATTTGTCTAAAACTGTAGAATTGTGGCTAGATGAGTTTTTATGTGTATATGGATGCAGATATGATCTCCAATGAATTTTTCAGCAAGGAAAAATATGGGCCCAGAAAAAGTAATCTTTCATATAACTTGGGGACCTAACAACCCTGTAAGAAATTACACCTTTACCCATTTCTTGTTCTTTATGTGAATAGATACTTCTTAAGACTAGTCCAAACACCAAGAAACCAACATTAAATATAATAACAATGAATACTACATGCAGCCACTTGGAACCATTTCAGAAACATGATGGGCAAACAAGGGTAGACAAGTCCATACATGATTATTGATGAAAGTAAAACCCCAAAGGCAGAATATAGTTACTGGGGGAACTGGATGTTCTATTTCTAGGCCTAGAAATAAAAGTATTTAAATATTTAACATATTTTAAATATTTAAAAATATTTGTTGGTTGTACATGTGCTATATTTTACCAAAGTAAACCTTTCTTTTTTAAAAAGTTGCACTGCAAAAAAAAAGTTTGAATAATTAGTGAACTAAAAGTGCTCATATTGTTGAGAGACAAGAAGTAGAGAAATATGAGAAGACAGAATATAAGGAAGATGCAGCATTAAGCCACCTTTTCCAGAAATAATGGAAAATCTTCAGAGTGTGATGGTTATTAGTGGTAGTCACCATAACGAGATCAAGGACCTATTAAGAGAATCAAGAAAACACACTTTTGGTGTTTGTGAGAGTGGGGAAACAAGTGGAGCATACTTGCCTTGAATGTTGGTATCTGTCCCATTGGCCTAGATGGACTGAAAAGGGAAAACTTCACTCTTGCTCTCCCTTCAGAAGAACAAATGCCATCCCCGCAGAACATACTTCAGACAAAATTGGCTTTATGAGAAATGGATTTATAGATAAGATTCTGAGTTTTAATATAATCTCATGAGTAAGAATGACATTTGGGATTACCATTTATTAGGTATCTGTGCCAGGTCCTGTGTTCTGTGCTTTCTGTGCATTTAGTCTCATATAAGGACTAAAAAGGTGGAGGCATTTTTATCAACATGGCATGGATATAAAAATAAAACCCAAGAGTCTACATTTGTACATAACCTGTTTTTAGCTTTCACTGACTTCAAGTTCAACTACTGAAGAATTAAAAAGAAAACAGATCAAGGAATCTAGAAATAAGCCAACATTTGGAAAATTGACCCGTTTTAATTATTTAAAAACAAAAAATACAACATCAAATTTCCCTTACCATCTACAATTCAGTTATAGTCAAACATTCTAAGACCAGAGTCCCCTGTCCAGAAGCAGGGAATGACGAGACACTGAAGACACACGAAGGTGAATGCTGAAGATCAGATTCCAGCTGTGGTCACAAGTCTTCCATTCAAACACACTCCAAGGCTCTCTTTTCAATGTGTTAAAGAAAGTGTTTTATAGGAAGTTCTTTAAAACAGTTTCATCTCAGGCACCATTTTCTTCAGTGATACACAGCTCCATAAAATTTGTTTCCATCTGATTGATAGGAATAAAAAGCAATTTTTACTTTGTCTTTTCCTGTTGGCACAAAGAGGTAAAATTGTCAGATTCCTTTATTAATAAAGGAGAGAAAGAAAAGATCTAGGCTGTGTGGGGTGCTGGTTTCTGCTTGCCTCTGAGGGTGTGACTTCCAAAGAGCTAAATCACATTTATGCCACTACAATGATTAGTATTTTTTTAGATGATAAAAAAGAAAATACTAGAGCTGGGCGCTGATGGCTCACGCCTGTAATCCTAACTACTCAGGAGGCTGAGATCTGAAGGATCCTGGTTCAAAGCCAGCCCAGGTAGGAAAGTCCGTGAAACTCTTATCTCCAATAAACCACCAGAAAACGGGTAGTGGCGCTGTGGCTCAAGTAGTAGAGCGCTAGCTTTGAGCTGAAGAGCTGAGGGACAGCATCCAGACCCAGAGTTCAAGCCCCATGACCAACAACAACAACAAAAAAAAAAGAAAAAAAAGAAAATACCCAATAGACATTAAAAATGGTCAAAAGTTTGTTTTTTTTTTTAACCGCAGGTCAATTTTTGCCTCCCTCCCCCAAAATATACAAAATGAACATATTGGGATGGTAACATCCATCATCCATTTGGACATTCCAATTTGCCCTTCTGCTTGTTCCACATACAGGTTTACGAGGAAAGGCATTGAGTTTTCTTAGTAATGTAATAGTAGTAACTAGCTGTGATCGTGGCAGCTTATCTGAGGTCCACTGATCCTTTCAATACATGTAGGGAAAGCATGACTGTCATTCTCTGCCTGTATCTGGACACATTCAGCTACCATGGAAACTACAAAGAAAGGAAAAATATATTTATTCCAAGATTCATTTACTGGGATTTCAAAGCGCCCTTTCTTCCATAGAACCCCTGAGTGGTGATACTGTGTTAGGGACTGCTGTGTTTTCCGGCATGCGCTCCCATCCTCTGAGGGTCCTGAGAAGGGTAGTGGATTGGTCCTGGAGCCCTCATGAAAGGAGGGGGTGGTCCCATTGGGTGGAACATGTGTGGGCCAAAACCTGCACATAAGAGAGAACACATCTGTTAGGCTTGCACTTCCTTTGGCAACTTTTTAAACCCACATGTCTTTCTAAGATCAAATGCACCTACACATTAATCGAGGCTGACATGTGTGGAATTCTAAGTATCAGTTCACAGGATTTTCTTACGATTATCTACCTGTATCATTTCCTTGGTTTTAGAAACCTTTTCCTTCAGTCCAAAAACTCCACAAGACTCAAGGTATCTGCTATGTTATCTCAGCCTCTGCTAAATGGAAAAAAAATTTTTTTGGGGGGGTCCGGTCGTGGGGCCTGAACTCTGGGCCTGGGCGCTGTCCCTCAGCTCTTCAGCTCAAGGCTAGCGCTCTACCACTTGAGCCACAGCACCACTTCCGGCTTTTTTCTTTTTGCTTATGAGGTATTGAGGAATGGAACCCAGGGCCTCGAGCATGCAAGGCAAGCGCTCTACCACTGGGCCTCCTTCCCAGCCCCCAATAGAGTTTTTAAAATACAACTTTCTAAAGGAAGAAGTGGCCATGGCTGACTTACATCCTAGCACAAGCTAGGATGACATCTGCCCATAGGCACATTCTGAGCCATAGTGATACGGCATCAGTTCAGACTGTTTAGGACAGCAGATGGTGGCAGATCTCTGGACTCTTGATTAACTCCAACCCTCATGATACTTGGATACTGATACACTCAGATCTTTTTTAATCCAGTGCCTGCCCTCTCTTTAGAAGGCCAGGAGCAATATGAAGTAAGACTCTCAACCACCAGCACCACAGAAGTGCAGAGGGCCTGTCTACCTTGACAAGAGGGCAGTGACTTTTCTGAGCCAGGAAGGAGGACAGGAGTACCTGGGGGTGGGGGCGGGGCAATTCCAGGGGGTGGTGGCAGGGCGATGTTCACCACAGCTGGAGGACCACTTGGGGGCAAGTTGAAGTAGTTGGCAGAGGCTTCTTCTTCTGCCGCAGGAGGAGGAGGAAGAGCTGAAGGAGAAATAATAACCAGTACTCTGAGGGGAAGACAGGTTTCTAGCCCCTGCTAGGAGAAAGGAGCTACTGCAGGGGGCGGAGGTGCCCGGAGTGGGGAGGGGGGTTTCTTCTAACAGAGAAACCTCAAGGGAAATTGGGCTTCTGAGGTCAGCAGGGACTCTGTACTCACCTCCTGGCAGGCCAGGTACAGGTTCTAGCTTGATACCAGAGTCTGTGGTTCCATCCTTCTCTTTCTCTTTTCCTCTGGCTGCTTGGGATCTGGAGACACACATATAATACAAAAGTCAGCACTCTGTCCCATTTTTTCTCATACCTCTGCTTGCTCCATCTTCCAAATGCAGTTCCTTTACTCCTTGCCTTCTCTTCAGCAAACAAGTGTCAAACTATAGAGTGACTTAAAGCCAAGGTTTTGAAAGCAAAAGGATTTGCACTCAAAATGTGCTAGAACTGCTACCAATGTTGTATGTATGCGGCACAAAGTAAGCACAGGCTATTAGCTTGCTCCTCCCAGATCTAAGCTGGAAACATCTTCTCCTTTGAACTTGAAATTTAGGCCATTTTACCTCGCTTATACAATCAACCATTTTCAACTTAAATAGCCATTCTTCTATTTTATCTTCTCCCTTAGACAATCAATGTTTGCTTCAAATCTACCTTTCATGTTCTGGCATTATACCTGGCCTATAATAGCTAGTAGCAATTATAACAAGAAGGTGCAGAAACACCATGAGCCTTCCAAGGAGACCATCAGCAAAACTCTAAATACATTTCCAAAGCAGGACTTTCTAACCTCCATAGGAATCATGTACTACATACAGAAGGATCACAGAAAGCTTGTTTTAAAAATAATCTTGTTGATTATAAAGCCTGTTTACTAAAAGCTTCCAGTCTCTAGGGTAACAAAATAGTTTTTTGAAAATCTCAGTAAGGTATATGAAAGTTCCTTTCTTACCTTCCCCATTTTACGTTGAGTCTGCGGCCATTGACAATCAACTTATTGAAGGATTTCTCAGCAGCCACTTCTGCAGCCTGCCTTGTGGCAAACTGGATGAAAGCACACTGCTGTCTCTGCACCACAGTGATCGTTCGGATCTCTCCAAACTGGTAGAAGTGATTCCTATGGGACACAGGTAGAGAAAAACAGGTTAACAACTGAGACTTGTCCAGAGATTGAAAAGGCACTATGGACTTGTTCTAAATCACCATTAGGCACATAGGCCCCACAGTTACATGCCTGACCACCTGGGTATTTTCCTTCTTCTTGCCCTAATATTAGTGCTGCTTCTTATGAGAGAGAAAAATAATAAATAAGGGCTCTTAAACATTGTTTCTGTGGAGAAATGAGGGCTCTAGTGGGTTCCCTAAGGACAATTAAGCCCACACCTCTAGATAAGGCATTGGTAAACTACAGCTCTTACTGTGCATGTGCCAAGAGTGTTTTCTTGTTTTGTGATGGGGACTTGCTATATTGCTCAGGCTAATCTTACGTTCATAAGCTCAAGCTCATGACTTTGAGCCAATGATTCTCCTGCTCCAGCCTCTGAGGTGGCTGCGACTACAAGTGTATACCACCATACCCAGCTATATGCAAAAAACATTTAAACAGGTGTATATGGGCTGGGACTTAGCTCAGTGGGTAAAGAGCTCACCTAGCATATGGGAGGCTCTGTCATCCAGTCTGAGCATGATAAAAACAAAACAAAACAACAGCAACAAAAAAAAGGAATAAAAACTAAGGCTAAAAGAGAATAATGCTAATATGTGAAAAAGATTTCATATCATCCCACAAAACCTAATATTTTTGTTCCATAGCATTTTCTATGGGCTGTACTGGTTTTTGGAACTCAGAGGCTAGAGCTGCAACTACAGCTTTTTGCCTGATTTTTCAGACATGGTCTCCCACTTTTTGCTCGGACCAGCCTTGGATCTTGATCCTCTTAACCTCTTAAATAAACTTCCCAAAGAGCTGGGATGTACCATCATGGCTGGCTTGTTTTTGAGATAGGGTCCCATTAACTTATTTGCCTGCACTGGCCTCAAATTCGATCCTCCCATCTCTGCCTCCTGGGTGGCTGGAATTACAAGTATAAAATTGTAATTAATTTAGAAATTTCTAGCATTTCATAGAAAACCTGCTAGCCTCTTGTGATTACCTTAGCTCACTCAGAGTGAGCTTAGTGGAGACAGGCTAGGAATTTGTTCACTTTATCTCTCTTTGGAAGGATAATTTCCATTATCAACCTAGATGTCACATTTGTCAAGCATAGGACAAATTAAAAAAAAAAGCCCAGGCCCAGAATTCAAGCTTCACAAATGACGAAAAAAAAATCATAAGAAATTATATCCATAATTTCAGAATCACAGCCAGGCACTGGTAGGTCATGCCTGTAATCCTACTCAGGAGGCTGAGATCTGAGAATTCAGTTTAAAGCCAGTTCAGGCAGAAAAATTAAAGAGACTCAACTCCAACTAACTAATAAAAAAAGCCAGGCTGTAGGTATGGTTCAAGTGGTGTCCACTGTGAAAGGAAAAAGCTAAGTATGAAGCCCCAAGTTTAAGCTCCAGTATCAGAAGAAAGAAAAAAAAAATTTCTCTCCTTCCCCTATATAATAAATCATTCTTGAATGCATGCTATTCTAATTCTGACCATTAGGGTCCCATGCACTGATTACTCCCATGCAAGGATGGATAAGCACTCTTGATAAACATTATTGCTTTGACATCATAAAGGATAATTTTATAAAAATATGAGTCAGTATGACTGCATAAGTATAGACTGTTAAGATTACCTAAGGAAAACTGCACTTAAAGTTACCACATTTATCTTTGTTTTAGTAAATGAATGTTTCAAATCATTTAAAAGCAAAAAGAATTCCTGAAATTAGAACCACACACCTGAGATCTGTCTCAGTAATCGTATCGCCCAAACCACCAACATAAAGTGTTGTGATAGTCTTATCCTCAGGTGGGTCCAGACGAGGCATAGTCGAAGCTCTCTTTAGAAGCTTATCTGCTACTGGGTCATTGATGCCATAATACCGATCTTTAATGTTCTGGTCAGCAAGAGGATCATCTGGATCTGTAGGCTTCTCGTGCCTGATTCACAAAAGAACAATGAATGAAGGAGAAACCAAGTGGGCAATGTGTTGTATCATTCAATATTAACTTGGTATTTTACAATACCAAGCATATATCCTGGATGTCTTTGGAATTAAGAAACGATTTCCACACCAAAATACTATTATCAAAACAGGGCTAATATCAAGAGATTTACTGTATTACACAAAGCCTTCCTAGCTTTCTAAAATCCATCTAAAGGGCCGTGTAGGGTGAAAAACTTCCCTTACAAAGAAATATTCTGATATGACCCACCTCAAAAGAAGGTGGACATACAGCTATCCCTCTTCAGTCATAAGTCTGGCTTTACACTGAGACTCTGGTTAGAACTAGTGAAAAGGACATATATTATTTGTTTGGTTTTCCTAACCTAGTCAGTTAGTGACTAGGTTAAGAATTCTGAGGGGCTGGGAAGGAGGCTCAGTGGTAGAGTGCTTGCCTTGCATGCATGAGGCCCTGGGTTCAATTCCTCAGCACCACATAAGCAAAAAGAAAAAAAGCCGGAAGTGGTGCTGTGGCTCAAGTGGTAGAGCGCTAGCCTTGAGCTGAAGAGCTGAGGGACAGCACCCAGGCCCAGAGTTCAGGCCCCACGACTGGACCCAAAAAAAAAAAAAAAGAATCTCATGGGGACTTTTCTGCCTCGGGTGGGCTTTGAACCCCTATCCTTAGATCTCAGCCTCCTGAGTAGCTAGGATTACAGGCATGAGCAACCAGTACCTGGCTTTCTTCAATTCTTCTAGTTCCCATTTTCACATATATATACTGATGATTATTTTAAGAGATTTTTAGTTGTGATGATATAGTGTCACTGTACTTCAGGACCAGAATTCTCCTAAACAAATATATAATAAGCAATATGTAGCTTGGACTTTGATTAGCAAAGTAACTTTCTGAACTTAACATAGATACACTTAGACATTTTCCCTTTTATTATATAGAAATCCTTGATAAATTAATTTTTTCAAAGTCACCTATAGTTAAAATCATTTCCCCAAAGTTGCTCTAAATCAATAGCAATAGTTTAATCTAATCACAGTTGAGACAAGCCTAAAGCATATTTAGACCAGAAACTTCTGGTCAAGATTGTGGAAAAAGTTTTGGTGCAAAAAAAAAAAAAAATGCCTAAGACAAGGAGATTATCTATCATAGCACTGATGCCATTTACCTCACCGTGACCACAGAGATAAGAGTTATAAGCTAGATGTAATTTTTCCCCAATTGCTATTTAAGTTCCTACTATTACTCAGGGAGACTCTAAAACAGCCTACTTATAAAAAGCATACCAAAGCAGACATTCTGAGGTGGGATCAGAACCAGAGACAGGAAGAGAAGTGGGAAATCAAAAGACTAGATTGTTTAAAGTACCTAGACACTTTCCGATTCATCAGACATGGCAAACATACCATACTCAAGGTCTAAAAGGCAGGTCTGACAAACATTCTTCAATTTACTGCAGGTCTGGCACACTTCAGTCTTCTTGAAGCGCATGCGGACTCCAGGGCACCAGCGAAACACTGTGAATGGCCTGGCACAAATCTGAATACACAGCAAGAGCCAGAGTGTTAAGAGCCAGGCACCTGGATGATCAATCCAGATTTAATAATGAGATTTCAGACAGGATCCCTGAATCTAGGGTTTAGAAAACTTAGACAATCACCTTGTCTAAATGCCATCTGATATTTCAGTCAAATTTACAGTACTCTTCCCTAGTAGTTAAAAACTTGTAAAGAAATGCAATATTCAAAATATCAAAGTCGAGCACTGGTGGCTCACACCTGTAATCTTAGCTACTCAGGAGATCTGAGGATCATGGTTCAAAGCCAGCCCAGGCTTGGGGTTTATTCTCCTAACTTCAACTTATCTGACCTTTTCTGCTTGACTCAGACATATACTAGTTATTGCAACTAAGGGAAACCATGGGACCTATGTTTCTTTGGGCCTGGCTTACTTCATTTAATATGTTTTCCAGATCTTTCCATTTCCTAACAAATGGGGCAATGTCATTCTTTCTGATAGGCGCATAGAATTCCATTGTGTATATATACCACATTTTCTTGATCCATCCATCTACTGTGGGGCATCTGGGTTGGTTCCATATCTTAGCTATAGTAAATAATATTGCAATAAACATAGTTGTGCTGGTAGCTTTAGTATGGTCTTGTTTGTGATCATTTGGGTAAATGCCCAAAAGTGGGACTGCTGGGTCATAGGGGAGCTCTATGTGGAGTCTTTTGAGGAACCTCCATACTGCTTTAAAACGGAAAATTATTACACTAAGCCCACCTTACTTGTGACTTATTGTACATGGCTAACCATATATGGTTAAAAGAAATCCATGAAATATCAAAACTAAAAATATTTAACTTGCACATATATATTATACAGCTCAGAAGTGCTCAGTTAATTCAGAGTTATCATTGTGTAACTTTGTGAGCCTCTGATTTTTTTCCTTGCCCTTAATTCTGTGAAAATATGCCTTCTTGCATATTAGCAAATAGTGCCTAAAACACAAAATAAAGTTATAGTAATTCTTCCAAGTCAAAAAGGGCATGTAATGTGTTTAATTTAAATGATAAAGTGAAAAGTTTAGATTTGTTGAATGAGAGAATGTCTTTTTTTTTTTTTTTTTTTGGTCTGTCCTGGGAGCTGAACTCTGGGCCTGGCCGCTGTCTCTCAACTCTTCAGCTCAAGGCTAGTGTCCTACCACTTGAGCCACAGTGCCAATTCTGGCTTTTTTCTGCTTATGTGGTGCTGAGGAATCAAACCCAGGGCCTCATGCATGCAAGGCAAGCACTCTAACATGAGCCAACTTCCCATTCCCAAGAGAATGTCTTTTGCAGAAGTTGGATGAAATCATCAGATAAATGAATCAAGTATTAACTCAGTAAAGTACTGAACTCCATGCATCATTAACATTCATGGTTTTCCCTCAACCATGGTCTCCTTGGAACCATAAACCTGCAAATACCAAGGGCCTACTATCCTTCTTAGCAGACATACTTACTTTGCATTCTTTCCCATATTTTTCTTTGGTCTGAAATAGAAGAGAACTGGAGTTACAGGAAGAAAATACCCAGATGTCTCTTTTTTTCCCCCTAACCATACTATCTAGGGATTTGTCTTGAGATCCCTGACATTCTAAAAAAAACACAAACCTAATCAAACCAAACCACAATTAAGCAACCTACTTTAAGGGTGGGATGGAACGGGGCATTTATTCCTGATATAGGTAATTAAAGATACTATGAGTTATACTTTCTCAAAAGTTTATAGATAGAATAACAAGTATCTTTACACAGTCAAAACTTTTAGACTGGCTCCTAAGAACCAAAATTCCTAACAGTTTCCATAGTCCTCAAATCAAGAATGATGAAGTTATGGGCAGTCTCCTTGACAGTTTGCTCAGTTAGCCTCATCTCACCCTGTGCTGATACCCTGTACATTAAATATTCTGTTCCCCCAAAGTTCTTCAAACATTTTGAATATACCAGCAAATCATTATCTCGGAGAATGACTATGTAGCTAACCTAATCACTGTCATAGGATTCTGAAGGATAGCATATACCTTAGTATATAAAAGGTGCAGTGGCTGAAAAGATGTGATCAGGAATCAATCTAGCCAGGTGCCAATGGCTTATGCCTATAATCCTAGCTACTCAGGAGGCTGAGATCTGAGGATCACAGTTCAAAGCCAGCTTGGGCAGTAAAGTCCACGAGAATTTTACCTCCAATTAACAACCAGAAAACTGTAAGGGGGCACTGTGGCTCAAGTGGCAGAGTGCTAGCCTTGGGCTCAAGAGCCTGAGGGACAGCGCCCAGGCTGAGTTCAAGCCACACGACCAACCAAAAAAAATAAAATAATGCTGGCTCTCCTAACTTGCTGAAGTCCTTGGAGTTTGACTATCTGAATTTAAATTCTAGTTTTACTCTTTGTGACATAAAGATATAAACTCGGTCAACTTCTGGTCAGTAGGTCTGCTTTCTAGGTAAACGCTTGACAAAGATTAGTTGTTACATTACAGGATTATTGATACAATTTTAAGCGAGACAGTAAGCATGGCAGATCTTTGCAAATCCCCCGGATCTTTGGGTTCGTAAGAGTCATTTTTCCTGCCGATCTTTGGGTTCGTAAGAGTCATTTTTCCTAAGGGCGAGGAGAAACATTTGACAGCACCACAGCATGAACAGAAGATGAACAGTAACCTTCGTTTTCACTTGCTATCACTCACCATTCGGATGTATGGGTTTTCTCCAAGACACGTCTGGCACAGAATGGGAAAGTCCTGGGGAAAACGGTAAATGCGGTGAGGGCCGAGCCGAGGCCCCCGAGGCCTCGGTCATTCTCCCGGCCACGAGGGGAGGGAGGGGAGGAACAGGCAGGCAGGAACCCCGGGCCCAGCACGGGCTGGGTCGCGGGGGCGGCGCGGCCTGCACTTCCGGCAGGCAGGGGGAGAAAACCCCGCCGGCCAAGGTTAGAGGGCCGAAAAGGCTGGGCCCCAGGCCGGAGCTAGGCCCCGCTGGGCCTCGTTTCCTGAGCCTCCGCAGGCCGCCCTCCAGCCCTCGCTCCCGCCGCGCCGGGCCGCGAGCCCGCGGAGGGCCCGGCTTCGCTGCGCCCTGCCTCCATCGCCTGCGGCCATACTCACCGCATCCTCCCAATTCTGCCTGTTGTAGGTGTTGGAACCCAGAGAGGTGGCCATCTTGAGAGTCCCGGGGCGGCCGGAGCTTCCGAGTGGGGACCGCGGACCGCCACAATCCCGTGAGGACCTGCGTCGGGCGCCGGGTCGCTTGACGTCTTATTTATGCGTCGGGCCCCTCTCCGGGGCGGGGCCTCGCGCTTGTGTTACGACGCTCCTCTCGCCCAGGGGACTTCTGCGCATGCGCAGTTTGTCAGTTTGGGGATCTTCACCAGTATAAGTGGTTTATTTAAAAATCTTGGGAAAGAATAAAGGGACTAGTAATGATTGGGGAGCTGCGGGTAAACCAGTGCTCACTCCAACTAAGCGCTTATTGTGCCAAACGCTGGCAGACGGCTTGCGGCGCCAGTCACGAGTCTCACCTAATTCTTAATTTTCTTTTTTTTTTTTTGGTCCGGTCGTGGGGCCTGAACTCTGGGCCTGGGCGCTGTCTCTCACTCATCAGCTCAAGGCTAGCGCTCTACCACTTGAGCCACAGCGCCACTTCTGGCTTTTTTTTCTTATGTGGTGCTGAGGAATCGAACCCAGGGCCTCAGGCATGCAAGGCAAGCGCTCTACCACTGAGCCACCTTCCCAGCTAATTCTTAATTTTCTAAGATTGACAAAACATGTACTTGAATTCCAATTAAAAAATGCTTTCCCCTCCAGCATAAGTGTGTTTACTGTGCAAATTACACCATAGAGGATTCTACCAAATTCATATTCAAGGCAGCATCCTGTCTTTTTTCATCCTTAAATGACAACCCTAAGCCCTAGGCAAGTATGTGGAACCCTCTTAAAATTGTTTAAAATTATCTTTAAGTAGTCGTAAAAAAAAGTTGCCATTCGGGCTGGAAAGGTGGCTCAGTGGTAGAGTACTTGCCTTGCATGCTTGACGCCCTGGGTTCGACTCCTCAGCACCACACAGGCAGAAAAAGCCAGGAAGAGCTGGGTGCGCACATTTTGTAATCCCCTAGCTACTCAGGAGGCTGAGATCTGAGCCAGCCCCAAGAAGGAAAGTCGGTGAGACCCTTTATTTCCAGTAAACTACCACCTCCACCCCACTCCCAACCCCCCAAAAAAGCTGTAAATGGAACTGTGTCTCAAGTAATAGTGCTCTATCTGAAGCTGCACAGACTAGGGAAAAATGAGGTGTGGTAAATTTACAGCAAATACAGGAGACATACCTTCATTTACACCCCTTAATTTAAAATTGAGGGAACAAAGTCATTTAGAGGAAAATGAAAAAAGGATAATTTAAGGAAACTGAGGCGTGGGGAAGGCAACTCAGAAACCTGGTATTTAGAAATACAAAAGTGCCATCTTTGCTTTAAAGAGAGTGAACAGAATGCATCCCAAGAATTAACACTTGTGACAGGATGTATGCCTTCCTGAGAAAAATGCTCCTCCAAACTTAAGCCACTTCCTGCCCCAAAGTGCAGATAGGAGAGTACCTCCTATCTTCCTATCCTCTCAAGGATAAAGATGTTTTATATCAGGATGCATTCTGGAACCTCTGAAAGTAAAACCGGTGTGGTTAGAACAAAGACAAAGCACCTATTTTTATACAGCTTTGAAGCCAGACCCTCTGCCTTTACCCTATAAATACCCCAACAGCCCAAGGAGCTGTGTGTGTGTGTCTTTCCCACTCTCTCCCCAGAGAACACCCATACTCTGCTGGCCTGTGCCCTTGCCTTCTGTCTGTCTGCTTGCCTGCAAACTCCAGCAAATTTTCTTACCATTGTGACTTGTCCAGAAATTCTTATTCTGTAATTAAAGTCAAAGATCCTAGATGAAGAGTTTCTACCGTTAAAAGGAAAACTGCACCAAACCTCATTTTTGTGTGGTGACATACTCTTGAGCAAAAGAAGCTCAGGGGTAGTGCCCAGGCTCCAAGTTTAAATCCTAGGACCAACTCTGCACCTGCTCCCTCCCCACCCCCCCAATCTAAAGGATAGCACTCTGGTCTTGAATTCAAGCCTCAGTACCTGCATGGGGAAAAGAAAAATGGAAATTGAAGTTTAGAGAAATTCAGTTACCTCCTTTTGGTTGGAAATCTAAAAAATGATAAAGCCAGACAGTCCAAAATGAAGATTTTTTTTAACCTGACAAAGAAAGGGTCTTATGGAATACACATCTTTGTAAAACCCCAATAACACTGCCAATATTTTAAGAATTTCATTCTAACATTACTTTCATATTTGACCTATCATCAAACTTCTTAATATATTTCTTTAAAATGTCTCATTAAATAAATTTATATAAAGCATACTTTGCAAATAGTTAAGAATTTTAAAGCTGGGAACAGGTGATTCACACTTGTAATCTTAGCTATTCAGAGATCTGAGGGTCAATGTTCAAAGCTATCCTGGGCAGAAAAGTCCCATGAGACGCTTATCTCCAATTAATTAGCAAAAAGTCTGTAGTGGAGGTGTGGCTCAAGTGGAAGAGTGACAGCCTTAAGCAGAGAAAGCCAACTGAGACTGATAGGTCTAAGTGCAAACCCCAGTCATGGTGTACAAGTGCAAGTGTGAGCGCACACGTGCACACACACACAAATTTTACTTCTTAGTTATCAGGAATTTTTGCATACGTTTTCCATATATATAGAATATTTCCATCATCTCAAAGAAGTTCTCTTATGCCAACAGACAATTTGCCTTCCTTACTCTCAGTACATTGCAACTACTCATTTGTGTCCTGTCCCCTATGGAAGCTTCTGGGCTTATGATGGTGCTATGCTTTACTAAACCCACTGCATGGAGGAATTAAGCTGGGGTTTGTTACTGCCATGATTGTCTTTAATGCATCTCAAATATACTATATTCTAACATTGTTTTGGGCATTAGGTTGGGGCCAAAAAACTTTCCTCAAATATTCATGGTTCACCTTCAGTTTATACCTGTCCCGCATATCTGCACAGTGAAGTCAGTCTCTTTCTGTACCTTCCACATCCTCTAGCAACTTGTATTTGTTACTAGCTGCTTGCTAGGCTGTAATAGAGGAGGAATGAAAGGTTCTGTTATAATTCAGTTCAGTTTCAGGCTTTAGTAGGATCTACTAGGCTTTAGAATTATTTTTAGTATTCTTTCCCTCTTATTATGTACCAGTTAAATTTTACTTGTCTTTGGTTTTATCAAGGAGCATTTCCCATCTGAGAAGTACACAACAGTTATGAATAATTAAACTATGGGCGGTGGCTAGTAATGTGGCAGTAGCAAGTGATATGCTGTTATCTATGGCATGTTGATAGTTGGAGTGAGGCACTATATGTGTAGAAGCAAGGAGCAAATAGAAAATATCTATGCCTTCCACTCAGTTTTGATGTGAAGCACTTTATGTTCTAAAAGAACTACTGAAAATATCAACATGAGATCTAAAGGTCACAGTTCAAAACCAGCTCAGGTAAAAAAGTCCCTGAAACTCTTATCTTCACTTAACCACCAGAAAACCAGAAGTGGCATTTTGGCTCCAAGTGGTAGAATGCTAGTATTGAGCAAAAGAGCTCAGGGATGGCACCTAGGTCCCAAGTTCAAGCCCCAGGGTAGAAAAAATCAACAAGTATGTAAAGGAAAAGGATGTGAATGTGAACTTATTCAACAAAGATAGGGAGCCTATTATTTGCCAGACATGGTTGTGAGTTTGGCAGATATAGCAATGTAAAAACAAGCTAGGCATAGGGGCACACACCAGCTGTGTGATGGGGCATATCCCAGCTACTTGGAAAGTGGATATAGGATTTTAAGTTTGAGGCTAATGTGTGCAGTTAGTAAGATGCTATAATTCTAAACAAACTAATAAATAAAAGCTAGGCATGTGTCTCAAGTGATGGAATGCTTGCCCAGCAAGCATGAGGCCCTGGGTTTAACTCATAGTACCACCAGAAGTGGGGATAAAATATGCCTGCCCCACAAAAAAGCTTATGTTCTAGAATGATGACTCAGAAAATAAAATGTACAGTAAGTTGGATGGGAAGAAATGATTGACAAGTGCTGTGGAGGTAAAATGAAGCAACAGGGGGTAGGGAATGTGTATGATAGGAAAGGGCAGTTAACAGGGAGTAGTTGGTCAGAAAAAACACACACAAAGGCACTGTGTGTGTGTGTGTGTGTGTGTGTGTATGTGCGCGTGTGCGCTGATCCTGGGGCTTGAACCCCTGGTACTGTCTCTTAAGCTTTTTCTTTTTTTTTTTTTGCTCAAGACTACCACTCTATTACTACTTGAGCCACAGCTCTACTTCTGGCTTCTTTTTTTTAAAAATTGTAAATAAGAGTCTAAGCAACTTCTCTCTTTGAGCTGGCTTTGAACCATCAGGTATCAACCTCCTGAATAGCTAGAATTACAGGTATGAGCCACCAGTGCTTGGCAGAAAGGCAACATTTGAGCAAAGACCTAATTGTGGTGTAGTGAGCTATGTAGAGAGCTTTCCAAGCAAAGGCCAGAGACAGCTGCATGGGAAGGCCAAGGAAGAGCAGGGAGGCTAGGTTGGCACAGAGGAGGGGGTGGTTAGATGAATTTGGTGAGGCAGAGCTTGGGGAAGCTTCAGGTCCTGTAGGACCTTATATACAAAGGCTGACAGAGCCATGCAGGTGAGGGGAGAGAGGATGTGATGGCTTTGAATAGGTAAAAGGATGAGGGTGGGTGTCAAGAGGTGGGCCTGGATTAGACAGGAGCATCAAGAAGGCATCTCTAGCCACAGGAGGGGTGGTGTGTGATTAAAGAGGGAGGTGCATGAATGGCTGCTTGTAAAGGTTGGACCACTTTGTATATTTGAAAGGACACCTTTTCAAAAATGACCTAGAAAGAAGTATAACAACATTTATATAATGGTTCTGAGAATATATATAGAAGGAACTCTAACACACTCTTCCTATAATACTGTTTAAAGTAAACTAATCTGGTATGATCTTTGGATCATGTAAAGAAATGGAAAAGAACCTGCCTGTTGATTTTCACATACCAAATTTAAAAACTCAAACTGTGATCAGATTTTGAGCCAACCTAGTTCCAAGCAAGTTTTGTGAAACAAAACCAAAGACACAGTCAAGTTTTGTCTGCTTTATTTCACTACATTAGGCAATAAGGCAAAACAGTAACTTGTTACTCAAAAAGATCAAGGAGTATCTTTCATTCCAAAAAGAGACCAAAAATGATGTGTCTTCACAAGTATGCATAACATTTAGCTCATTATACTTGTAATATGCACTTTGGTCAAAAGACAACTTTGGTGTGATCAAATCACAAATCCAAATTAACTTAGCCTTAAGTTTCCACAATTATAGTTTCAAGTGTTACAGCCTCTAAGTCTCCTGTCATAGAGCACACCGACTAGCACTTTGTCTAATATAAAAAAAAAAAAAGGGCAACAGATACAATTCCTAATTCACTAGCTGCAGGTGCTGAACCATTCCTACAAACACATATAATACCAGTTTGCACTAAAACCTATCTGGAGGAAACATCAGACCAGCAGCTCTGTTATTCTGTTAGTTCATTTGGTTTCTGGAGAAAAAAGTTATGACCTTTGAAAGTGTTTCGTATTTCTGTTATCCCATGGGAGTGATGAGACCTATTACTTCAACATTATTATTTTTGGAAACAAAATACCATGCCATAAAGGTGTGCAGACACACAACCGAATACACACCCACAAGTGTGACACACAAGGCTGTTCTCTACTCTGATCCCTCCTTCCTCCACTGGCAAATATGGAGCAGTGGTTTCATAGAAGGCTCTGGCAGTAGTGAATAAAAATTAATTTGATACTTTGTGGGGTCACAAAAAGTTAAGCTATCTTAATAGTCTGAAAACTATTTTCCTGCTGGCAAGGGTATATCTTAGTTACCATTACCATTTTATTAGAGTTGTCCATCTTACACTGCAGCATATATATATAACATTGTGGGAATATTGCTTCATAAAACCAGCTTGACCTTAATAATACAACTTAGTGTCTTTCAAAAGCTTCTTAGTCTCATCTTTCAAGGAAATTGACAAGGACTACGTCTTATCTGTACTCTAGATTACATATCTAATTTTTTTAAATTGGACTTAAACAAAAAATCAAGTTAAACAGGAAAGTTGTCTTTTCCTCCAAAGTCAGTTGGCCACTTACTAAGAATACTTTTAAATAAAAGTGGAGCAGCGGAGTGCCAGTGGTTCATGCCTGTAATCCTAGCTACTCAGGAGGCTGAGATCTGAGGATCAAGGTTCATAGCCAGCCTGGGCAGGAAAGTCCCATGAGACTCATATCCAAATAACCACCAGAAAAACTGGAAGTGGTGCTGTGGTTCAAGTGGCAGAGCACCAGCCTTGAGCTGAAGAGCTGAAGGACAGCTCCCAGGCCAAGTTCAAGCCCCATAACTAACAAACAAACAAAAGTGGTGCAGCTGGTGGTCTACTTTTTTCATTTTAGAAAAACTTCACAGAAATAAAGGTTAGCAACTTAGCTCCTGCATCTAAGCATATGTGGTATATCAGCATTCTGGGCTTCCTGCTGAATTCTCACTGTTTACGATCAAAATGGTCTTATTTATACACTGCACAGAAGTCTTAATCTCAGTCAGGGGAAAAGTTCTTTTTGTTACTACCCAGTTTTTTTTTTTTTTTTTTTTTGCCAGTCCTGGGGCCTGAACTCAGGGCCTGGGCACTGTTCCTGTGCTTCTTTTGCTCAAGGATAGCACTGTACCACTTGAGCCACTGTGCCACTTCTGGCCTTTTTTGTTTATGTGGTGCTAAGGAATTGAACCCAGGGCTTCATGCATGCTAGGCAAGCATGCTACCACTAAACCACATTCCCAGCCCTACTACCCAGTTTTGAAGTCAGGAGATTACAATAATTAATTTTACCTTCAAATAGTGGAAAAAACATTAGTTCAGATCATGCTAAAAATTGAACCTTTACTATGTTTTCCAAATTCCAGAAATAAACTTGTCCAGTTAGGTTTTCTTTGGGCTCTTTCCAGGTCCCAAATACTCAGAACAATTTCTTGAATTAAACAGAGCAAGGCTAGGGAGTGAGATATATAGTCTGCCTCCCTGTGGCATCATTAGCCCTAGATATTGTGGCAATGTTTAAAGTGAACGGAATGTGATGTAACATGTAATTACTTGCTTCTCAAATTAATCTTCAAAGTTCCATATTCTACTGAGGAAAAGTTTAAGAGAACTGGTAAATAAGTGTCCTATACTTACTTAGAAGAAAAGGGCAAAGAGAGTGCCTTAAGATTTTTACAGGTCTCCTCCACCTTAAGACAACACCTGAAGACAACAATTCTATTTTCTGTTAAGCGGAAATCTATGCCAAAATGAGGACCATAAGGGCAAGTGAAGGGACGTGTTCCAGAATGCTAGTTTATATTTAATGGAACACAGAGAGCAGTGTACACCGACACTGAGGGTATATCATTTACAACAGTTCCAAGTTTAGATTATCACTTAATGTTTCATCTGTTAGACTGTGTGAGATCAGTGAGAGACAGAGAGAGAGAGCGAGAGAGAGAATGGTTTCTCAGGTGGTATCTAATGCTACTCTGAGGAACAGCCATCTCTTTCCTGGGATGGAGCTATGGTATTATTGAACGTGCAGGGCTGAGTAAGGGAGACACAGACTTATTGGTGTAAACAGAGTGAGAGCAAGAGCAAGAGGAACAAAAGTCTTACTGCATTTCCAGTACCTGGCCTATGCTTCACTCGAAGGAACGGGATTCAGTAGTGCATGAGTACATCATTATAAACAAGGCCTAACGAAGCACAAGCTTCCATGTTTTAACACAGGGTTGTGGTGCCACAGATGTGGTTGAGATCTGTTCACCAAGGGAATCTTTTAAGGAAGAAGTGGGCCCAAGCTGAGTTCCACATGCTGGATGAGCCAGATGACTTCCGTGCCCTGGTCACTTTCCTCGATAGGGCGGATGTGGGCAGCCAGGTTTTTGAAATCATGCTTCATCTTGAAGCACACGGTCACTTCGCCCTCCTCATGCTGTGGGGTAACTTTGATGAAAATGCCCACTTTGTTGGCTTTTCTGAAGGCTATAATGCTGTGGAAAGTAAGCATGGTGTTATATAAGTCACAAGTCTGCCAAACCACTAAGACTAAGTCATTTTATAATACAATGGTGAATCTGTGACATGACTACATTCTTGTTTCATCAGCAATGAATGGATTTTTTTTAACATTACAAAAATAAAATATAGTCATAAAAGTAAGTGGGAAAAAGTTAAGACCTTTCCTTGTTCTAAACAGCACATAAACTGTAAGGACTCTGGTTCTAAACCTGCCAGGTATTTTCCTATGAGCTTATTTTTTTCTCAATTGTAACCAACATGATTGAGACCTCCTATTCTGTATTGTGACTCTGTTTATTCTATCATAAACAACTTTTACACAGTAGTGTATACAAATCTTGTTCATTCTACTTAATGGCTACATAGTATTTAATCATGAATTTAACAAAACTGGTAAGGCTGAGGCCTCTGCCAACTTTTCACCACTACAACTGTGGGCTGCAAACTTCCCTTTACATTTGCCATTGTGTGCCTGTGAAAGCTTGTAATAAAATTCAGATTTCCAGTCCCTGGTGGCCCTGCTAGACATCCTCTGGGAATGGGTCTGGAATTGTACAAAATAACAAAGCTACCAGTTGCCCTGGTACCTCCTAAAGTTAACTGAAGTTCGGTAACCATTAATTTTACCTTTGTCTTCACTTTACATTTCTACCCCATCATAAAAGGACCAGTGTAATGAACTATTGCTTTTCTACTCCAACCAACCCCACTTCTTTTGCTTTGTGACACTGGATTCTGCTAAACCCACATCTGCTTTGGACACTGGCTTCTTGTTAGGTTTGCAACAGGGGACTCTAAAGGTAGACAACCTAAAGGAAGAAGAGCATTGTTCCTCTTTTTTTCAGCTTCCTGTTGGTTTGTAATTTGCTTGGGCATCACTCTGGCTTTTCTCCCAGCAAGGGGCAGAATCCAGGATGAGCAGTCCAGTTCTTTTTTTATTTTTTTGTCGGTCATAGGGCTTGAACTCTGGCTTGGGTGCTGTCCCTGTGCTCTTCAGCTCAAGGTGAGCTGAAGACATGTGTGAAGCTCTACTGCTTGAGCCACAGCACCACTTCCGGTTTTCTAGTGGTTTATTGGAGGACTTTCCTGCCTGGGCTGGCTTTGAACCGTGATCCTCAGATCTCAGCCTCCTGAGAAGCTAGGATTGCAGGAGTGAGCCACAAGCACCCAGCTATCATTCCAGTTCTTGTATGACCTGCTTCACCTTCCCCTGCCGCCCTGAGAGGCCATAGTCAGGTATCCTCTTCCTCATTGCACTGGAGGTCTGAGTTTCAGCCCCATGGGGCTCCTCCTTCAAGCATTTGAATTTTGACAATCCTTTTATCTTCATTAATTATTAGCTATGCATTTTATAGGGAGCAGAATAATGACACAAATATACAATGTATAATAATGATCAAGTCAGTATAGCAAGAATTTTGATCTCCAATACTTTAGGAAGTTTTACTACTTTATAAATATTTTTAACTTTTTAAAGTCTTCAGCTAACAATTCTTCATAGTAATTTCTCTCTGTTTAAATTATGAATATAATTTCTGTTCTTAGATTGGAAGGAAGCTAATTCCCTGTGCAAGAAAAAGTTTGTGTGTTTTACTTCTTAGATATTAAGTATGAGACTGTGCAATCTACTAATGATAAATCTATAGGGTAGAATCCTCTATGCTGTCTACAGCAGTTAAAAGGAATATACTGGGGCTGGGAATGTGGCTCTGTGGTAGAGTACTTGACTCGCATGCATGAAGCCTGGGGTTCAATTCTTCAGTACCACATATATAGAAAAAGCTGGAAGTGATGTTGTGGCTCAAGTGGTAGAGTGCTATCCTTGAGTAAAAGGAAGCTCAAGGTCAGTGCCCAGGTCCAGAGTTCAAGCCTCAAGACTCGCCAAAAAAAAAAAAAAGGAATGAGCCGGGCACCCGTGGCTCACTCCTGTAATCCTCAGGAAGCTGAGATAGAGGATCATGGTTCAGAGCCAGCCCAGGCAGGAAAGTCCATGAGACTCTTCTCTCCAATAAATTACTAGAAAACCGGAAGTAGCGCTGTGGCTCAAGCGGTAGAGTGCTCACCTTGAGCTGAAGAGCGCAGGGACAGTGCCCAAG